CCATGATGTGTCTCATTCTACTACATCTGTTTGCATGTTGCATTACTCTCGTCGTAGTTAAACATGTGATCTATCAAGCTTGTACTATTGTCAATGCATTCATCAAAGAATATGCTTCTCACGAAGAAGATTGATTTAGTTCATTTCCTTCGTTATTCTATTCCGCTGCTGTGATAGGGGTATGGTTCAAAGCTTTCGAAAGAAAACTTGAATCTCCCATTCACCCCCCCCCCCCTGGTCGATATACTCTCGGTCCTAACAAGGAGGCCGAGCGGCTCCTCTACGAGCAGCAGGCAGCCGCTGGACAAGGCTGTCGCGGCCCTTCGGTGTCGTACAGCTGCTGGAGGGATGACAGCGATGATGGCACCGACGGAAACGGCGGTGCCGCAGGGCAGGGCGGCCACGCGTACGAGGTGTCCGGTATAGGGTTTAGTATTTTCTAGTTTTTTAGTTAAACGGTCGAAATATTTACCTTTTATGTAAATTATATATGAATTTGAATGAAATCCATTCGGTTTGATCGAATTTCGCCCGCTTGGTTTGAATTGTTGGTCGAATGTATGCGGCTAGCGTTAGATGGCTGCCTCCCGCATCCGTGTCTGCGGACTAGTCCCCTTATCCGCGGACGGAAGCGGGAGGTTTTTTGCGGGTTGCCCCGTTGCAGATACCCTAAATGATTTTAGTTTATGCGGTTTCAGAATAATATATAGGACTGTTGGTTTTTCACCTTGGTTGCCATTGTTTCTATTTCTAATGGACTGAAGAACGACTCAAGTTGTTTGTGCTGTTGCCAATATTGAGCGTTGGATCTCAGTCCCCATGAATCCCTTTCTGTCTCCCTCCCTCTTTCACTCGTGGGGATGACGAGTGGATAGAAATAGGTAAGAGGGCGAGGGCGGTCAGCTAAAAAAATGTGTTCGGGCGGATGGCATAGCGCCCAAACGAGCCAGTTAGATGACGTGTCAACCGGTCCCGCTTTAAGATCCATGATCACCATCAGATGGTTACAAACAAAGTGAAGGTGCATAATTGGCGTCTTATGAGGAATGGTTTGGCTGTATGTTCTGAGCTTAGTCGATGAAAAATTAAATCTAGTGTGGGGTGTGCTGCATGTGGGAGAGAGGAGTCTCTTGCTCATAGATTTTGGATGTGTCCACACTCGCAGTGTTTTTGGAAAGTTTTTTCTGAAAAAAGAGGAATCCCTGCTGGCTACCCGCCAGAAGATATGCAATCAAATGTGGAGGTAGGTAGATAGTTGGCTCAATGGATTTCTGAGGTTGATGATGAACAGAGAGAAATGATGATACAGGGTGTTTATGGGCTTTGGCTTGCGAGGAATAATGCAAGGGATGGGAAGAAGATTCAATCTCCACATGAAATATCATATTCGGTCTCAAAGCTCATGGATGAGTGGTATGAAGTGGTGCAACGAAAATCAAGAACTCTTGTGCGACCATGACTTGAGAAATGGACACCACCTGAACAAGGGTGGATTCTAGCGAACGTTGATGGAGCGGTGTCAAAGAATGGATGTGAGGGAGGAGGAGGGGTGGTCTTGCGTGACCATGATGATGCCTTTCGGGGTGCTGCAACTCAATTCTTTTCGTATGACTTGAAACCAGAATTTGTTGAATTGAAAGCATGTAGAAGAGCGCTCCAATTTGGGCGTGATTTGAGTATCTCAAAGATTCATGTTGAAATGGATTGCAACCAGGCTGTGAGAATGATAAATAGTGCTTGCAAAAATCTCTCGGCGGCTGGGCCAATTGTTGAGGATATTAAGGCTCTAGTGCAGGGATGCCAGGGTTGTAAAGTTTCATGGAGAAGGACTGCAAATCAAGCTGCACATATTCTTGCTAAGTTAGTTGTTAGTGAACAAGTATTTCAAGAATGGCGGGTTGTGCCTCCTGAGTGTATTTTGCATGTAATAGCGGTGGAGATTCCGAACGCTTTTTAATTAATAAAGTTTGTTATTCTCAAAAAAAAAACATCAGGACAAAGTGTCTTCATGCCACACGTTTGACACTTATCATTTAGATACAAAATTGACTTGCCTAAATTTAAAAAACAGGTAACTTACATAGTAGTATAGTTAATGGATGAGAATTAGCATATCTGTAAAGAGAGGGGGAGGCGATTTGCAGACACCATGCATGCCGATGCCGCCGCCGCGCGCATCGATGACCATCACCTGCCACTGCGCACTCGGTCACCTCCTAAGTTGCCGCTCCATCTTTTGCTCCCCAGCGGTTCCTGGCTTCCTGCTCGCCCGGCCTCTCCTCCTCTCTATCTCTTCCCGTCCTCTCCCTCACGCGCGTTTGGATCGACCCCCGGTGAAGCTGCATGCGCTGAGGGCGACAACGTAGCGTCCCACCGTACATGTGCATGTGGTGTGGAAGGGAAGGAGAGACGAAAGAGAACGATCGACTCGTCAATTGGTGATCACAGTGGGCAGGCACGTCGTCGTAGGTAGGTGGTGCATGCATGAGCAAGAAGAAGAGAGAAGGAGGCGGAGGAGGAAAAGGCGGTGGGGGAGGGGCTCATCAGCACAGGGGAGGCGGCGGCGGGCCGACGCCGGTAACGGATGTGCTCTCCATGGACGGCGGCCTCCGCGAGGTGTCGGTCTCGGTCGTCTTCTCCGTATGGTGTCTCCTTTTCCTCCTGCGCTCCCAGTTCCTCAACAGCCAGACCGACGACCCTTCGGGTAACTAGTATCTTCCATCTCCTTCGATGCCGATCCGTCTCGTCGTCATGTCTGCGTCTGCGTGGTTGAATGAATCGGTGGATCTGTCGACCCAGATTTCTACGGCGAGCGCGACAACTACTGCAAGGTGATGCCACTGGAGGCATACATATTCCCGGCCGATACCGCCTCCTCCCCGACGTGCCAATCCTCCTCCTCGCCGCACCCCCCAGAAGCACTACCACCGTCCAACGCAAGCGGCGGCAACTCGTCGACCGAGGCGGCCTTGGTGGAGCTGGACGAGTTCCGGAGCCGCATCCTGCAGGGCAAGGCCGACAACGACAGCGGCCGGCACCACCAGCGCGTCGCCGACGGCGCCGCGCACCGCCTCGAGCCTAGCGGCGCCGAGTACAACTACGCGGCGGCGTCCAAGGGTGCCAAGGTGCTCGCCCATAACAAGGAGGCCAAGGGCGCCGCGAACATCCTCGACGGCGACAAGGACCGCTACCTCCGCAACCCGTGCTCCGCGGACGACAAGTTCGTCGTGGTGCAGCTCTCCGAGGAGACGCTCGTCCACACCGTGGCGCTGGCCAACCTGGAGCACTACTCCTCCAACTTCAAGGACCTGGAGCTACATGGCAGCCTAAGCTACCCGGGGGAGGCGTGGGAACTGCTGGGGCGGTTCACGGCGGAGAACGGCAAGCACGCTCAGCGCTTCGTGCTGGCGGAGCCCCGGTGGACGCGCTACCTCCGGCTGCGCCTCGTCAGCCACTACGGCTCCGGGTTCTACTGCATCCTCAGCTACCTCGAAGTGTACGGCATCGACGCCGTGGAGCGCATGCTGCAGGACTTTGTCGCCAGCCACAGCCCCGACGCGGACGCCGCAAAGGCTGCCGCCGACGCCCGTAAGGAGAGCGGCCACAACGACACCGCCGGCTCCCAGGTCCACGACAGGCAGGTGGAGGGCAGCGGGCGGAACGAGAGCGCCGGCGACGTGGCCAAGAACAACGGCTCGAGGGTGGCGGACGGGAAGCCGGCGCAGGCGCAGGGCAAGGAGGCGGTGAAGCAGGCGACGGGGCGGGTGCACGGCGACGTGGTGCTCAAGATCCTGATGCAGAAGCTGAGGTCCCTGGAGCTGGGGCTGTCGACGCTGGAGGAGTACACCAAGGTGCTGAACCAGAGGTACGGCGGCAAGCTGCCGGACCTGCACAACGGGCTGGCGCAGACAGGCAAGGCGCTGGAGAAGATGAAGGCGGACGTGGAGGACCTGGTGGAGTGGAAGGACAAGGTGGTACGTACTCAGTTCGTCCCAACCTTGTGTGATGCATGCAACTGAAAGGGCCAAGTGGTTTGAGTTTCTTTTGTTGTCTCTCGTTTTGGTTCAGGCGAGGGATGTGGGAGAGCTGAGGGACTGGAAATCAAGCGTCTCGCGGAAACTAGACCATCTGGTCAGGGAGAACGCGGCGATGAGGCAAGGACCCATGCCATGCCATGCCATGATACGCGACGAGGTAAAGCGGTCGGGTCGGGATTGTTTTGACGTGGATGTGCGCGCAGGTGGGATGTGGAGGAGATGAGGAGCATCCAGGAGACGCTTCAGAACAAGGAACTGGCGGTGCTTTCCATCAGCCTCTTCTTGGCGTGCGTCGCGCTCTTCAAGCTGGCGTGCGACCGCTTGCTGCTGCTCTTCGCCAGCAAGGAGGACGACGGGGCAGGGACGGGGTGGATGCTCGTGTTGGCGGCCAGCAGCCTCACCACCCTCATCGTGCTGCTCTACAGCTGAACGATTTTTTAGGAATAGAAAAATAATGACTTTGCGAGCTAGACCTCGTTACCTTCTTTCAGGTCATGTTATGAGTTAGCAAGTCATTAGGCAATCTAATTCTCCCCCCGTTTAGCACAGCTAGTCTTGTTTTACAAGAGAAATAAAGTACAAGAAAGATGGGTATACTGTGCAGTATGTTAGCGCGGCTTTCAACCTGCATTACTTCAACTACAAGACGCTATGGATGACTAACGAGGAACCAAAGAAAAGGATATCCAATAAGTTTACTTTCATCTGCAACAAGAAATGGGTTCATTTCATACCAGACAACACAAGAGTGGTGCAGCAGGCGTCAAGTGGAACAAGTTACAGACCACAAAAAAATAATGGGCAATTGAGCGAGCAAATTATTGAGGCACTGTTGCAATTGTGTGCTCGTCTTGCTGGCATTCAGCACTGGAAACTTTTCAGAAACAAAATTGTGAACCAAGACAGGTAATTTCGACAAGCATCAGCTAAGAGTATATTATAAGGCGCGCCTCGACATCTAATTCAGACCTTATAGCCGGTTAAGGTGAATCCTCTGCCTGCAATCTCGCCTACGCAGAACCATGCATAAAGCTCAACCCCAAACAGTGTTGCAATTCCAAGGTCCTCCACCTTGAGCTCCTTCCTGTTCTTCCAAAGCTGCTTGACACCGTCAACCTCCTTCCACAATGCTTCATAGCGGCCTGGTAGACTGAAGAAAACAGCAAATATATATACAAGCCACTGATCAGACTCCAGAGAACAAAGGAATGGCTTAAGCACAATAGAAAACATTCACCGCGGCAAGGAAAAACAAGCAAAATTCCTTGCACTGATCAGCATAGATGTGCATAATCAAATTACGGCTCATGAAAGATATAGTGTTGCACCCCATTTGAAGATGGCAAACACGTAAATATACAAAATGGAGAACCAGGCCTAAGGGGAACTAGCCCATGTGGCTTAGTATTGATTATGAAGAACAGCCATGACCACTACTGCGGAGACCAGGCCTTGAACGTGGGCTTCCCATGCAATCACACCACTGGCCAACTGAAGCCCGGTTCTCAACACAGAAAAATACACGTTTAGTCCTCTCCTACAAGTGCAGCCATAGTCTGGTCTTCCTACCACACACAACAACTAATCACTATTGTACCGCGTACCATCTGGAAGTTGCATTACCAAGGTAAACATGCCTCATGGCACAGCATTTGCCACAATGTCAAATAAAAATCTGTGGTAGGGAATGCAAGTTGGAAAACAATGTATTGAACAGTTCAAATTGGCAAACAATCTTGATTAATCATATGTGTCAAACTAAACCGCTGGTTAAGACATCGTTAAAGCAATATATGAATGTATCAATCATGATTCAACTGGTGATGTAAGTTTGCTTGAAACCGAACTCAGCTAGTTCGCTGGTTCAACAAAACAAGGTTATGGCCAGGTCAAGTGTCCATCCCATCCTATATGTCAAACTACTAGAGTGAAGTTCATAATATGTCCAAGAATGACCACATGAATCTGGATTATATAACCACTCATGGATACCTCAAAATGTAAACAACAACAGCAACAAACAACACATAACCAGAATGCGGATACACTTGACTGAGGTTGCACTTTTTGCACAAAGTAGCTAATAAGACCAAAGATTCAAAACATACACAAGTCAAGAAGCAACAAAACTCAAGGTTTTACTATGTCAGTCAGTCAAACCTGCCTATACATGCAGAAATATCCTACACTGTTCCTGCCAATAACTCAGATCAGCATGATATTTTGATGGAATATTTGCAGGCAACAGTTGAATCGATTTCTTTGCAAACATGCAGAAAAATGGCAAATGGTTCACAGAGAGCTATATGTGCTAAGACTCACTTCTCGAATATCATACATAGTAGATTACCTTTTATTTATGATATATCAACTTCACAAGAGACTATGCTTTCACCTAAACAATCGTCCTTTATGCTACATCTGTGATGTCTCCATTCAACATGGGTCAAAGAAAAATATAAAAACATAGCAACAAAACAAAGCTGCACAGGTGATCAAGCATAAGGATGACATAAAATGTTTCCATTATGATTGAAATCACAAACTTGTGCCAACTAACAGGACAGACATATTTCCCTCACACAAGTGGGTACCTTGCATGACTTGCAGAATTGTGATTTATCCATTAAAACCAATTATTGAACATAGCATATCTTGTTAGATTGAAGTGACAGTTATCATTTCAAGGAACAAAGGTGCATCTCCATCCACATACAAACTTTAGCAATCATAAATAGTGTTCTACAAGAGGGTCATCCAGTTAGGAGTAGGTGACACTGCCACAACACGCACACCTAGCTAAATTGCTCTGTCCTGGTAGCTGCCTAGAGTAAGCATCATGTGAACAATTAGCATAGTCCCAGCCTAGCAAAACATAAGAACCGTCTCACAGTCACAAAAAAAGAGAGCATAAACCCCAGCTAACCGGAAATTGCTGACGTAGCAATGGTCTTCCCCCAACCACTCAGATTTGAGCTACATTGTAGATGGCACATACAAGAGATCTCCAAGATTTCCGTATGCTAAAGTTCATAAATAGTGCAGAAAGTGAAGAACTATGCAATCGCTCAATCCCCCAGTCACAAGTGGCGGTGGCTATACATTGAACACTTCATATCTAATTTATGTAAAGAAGTTTGTATCCACCAAATACATCGATCACTCACCCTAGAAGGCCACACATTGCCACAGCCACGAGTGGACCACCCCATACTACGATCCAGTTCAGCTAGGCAGGCAGTAATAGAGATAGTAGGCAATTACGGGGCAAACCTCAACCACACCATGGTCACCCCCGTTGCTACGAGCACAAGCAGATCCACTGATACTGCGCAAGAGCCCCGATTGGAACCACGCCACATGTACAGACGGTTGGACACATAAATCATTTATTTAGGGGCTTTACCTCGCGAGGCGCGTGTAGAAGAGCTGCTTGGAGAGCTCCTGGCACTTCTCCACGGAGGGAGGCTGCACGACGTACTGCTTGTTCTTCTCCATCGCCTCCTTGTAGTAGGCGCCGCCGTGCTTCGAGGCGAATTCCGCCGCCTGCGCCGCCTTGGTCCGCAGCTGCGCGAGCCTCGCCGCCATCGCCGCCGGAACCTACGATGCGCACGCGGAAAGGGATCAAATCGAAGGTATCAGATCTGGTTGCGCGGATCTAGTGCCGGATTAGGCTGAAGAGAGTGGTTGATCTGATGGGAGAGGCTAGGGTTTTGGATTGGGAAGTACCTTGACGAAACGTCGGCAAGAGGCGAGGAGGAGGTGAGGTGGGAGGAGATCGAGAGGGAGGGGGTGAACGAGGACGGCGGCGGGATGGCAGGGGTGTGGGTGCTCAAGATTGGGAGGGGAAAACGGTGGGCGAGCGACCGAAGGGTATTATTGTCAGTTCACTGGTTTTGGGCAGGAGTAGTTGAGGGTATTATTGTCAGTTCATTGGTTTTGGGCAGGAGTAGTTGAGGGTATTATTGTCAGTTCATTGGTTTGAATAAGCTCACACCTACTGAAATATCTTTTGCAAATGACTGATAAATCAACTGCTATATCCTATTGGAATTTGTAGGGATGTGACTGTTGTAGTTGCAAACGTTACCATCTTAACATAGTTTGTTATACTTGATATTCCCGAAGACGATGCTATGTCGATCATCCTTGGTAGACCATTTTTGAATACTACAGGGGCTATTATTGATTGCATCAAAAGCAAGGTTACTTTTCATGTCAATGCTAATGAGCATACGGTTTATTTTCCAAAGAAACAAAGTTCGGTGAATAGTATTAATATTATTGAAAAGGTTTCAACAATCACTATTGGAGGTTTCAAATTTCCTCTCCCTTCAGTCAAAAAGAAATACGAAACTCTTATTGTTGGGGAGATGCATATCCCCATTGAGGTAACCTAGTATTATACGAAAATTCTTCGGTTTCATGTTACTCGGAAATAGTTTGTTAATAAGACTTGATCAACTTTATTAATGGATTCTTTTTAGGGGCATGTGGTCGATGAATTTAGTAAGCACAGCCTATTGTACCCACTATTTACTCTCTTTTATTTAAGGTTAATAAAGTAGAAAAGACATGACTGTCTTGTTTTCTAAATTATCCATGCAACAAAAAATGTCCCAAAAATAAAAAATTCTCAGAATGCCCTGAAAATTTAGTATGATTTTTTCTACAATATTTAAGAAATTTTGGCATTGAACACACCCGGGGGGTGCACCTATGAGCCACAAGCTCATAGGGGACGCCTACCCCCTCGGCGCGCCTACTGGGCTTGTGGGTCCCATAAGGACCCACACACTTGTCCCAGCGCCCACTTCCTTCTTCCACCTCCAGAAAAAATCACCATCTCCTTCAAACCCGTTTTCTTGCTCATTTGCCTGCAAATTTCAATCTCCTTGATCGGAACTCCGCTTCTGAAACTGTTTTGGGGGATTACTCATTGGTATGTGACTCTCCAATGGTCAAATTAGTTTTTGTTCTGGTGCTTTATATTTTGCAAATTTTTGCTGCTGCGGTGACCATGTATTTGAGCTTGCATGTTGAATTTGTATGGTCCAAAGTAGTGTTGATGCATGATATAGCCTCTAGATACTTGTGGAAGTAATTGCTATCAATTTTGTTAAGTTTTTCACTTTTATTTTGAGGTACTAATTTTTTTAGAAATGTTCAGAGAAAAAGAAAATGCTTAAGTGGAGGTTGAGAGGTTCTTTGAGTCGAGGTCCTAAGGAAACCCGAAGCCCATGTACAATCCTCCTTGTGCGACCGAGGTGTGACCGTGCGAGTGGTTGTGTGACAAGTTCTTGAGGGATGCTAGAATTTTTGAGGATTTCTATCACTTGGCGAACAATGTTGGCATCATCCCCTTCCTCGAAGATAAGTGTAACTAGTATCTCCTCCTCACTAATACTTCCGTGCAAAACTTCTATTTTCATGCTAGGGGAGAAATACCCACCGTGTCATTCCACTTATATGATGTACCTAGAGAGATGACATTGGAGGAATTTTGTGAGGTTTGCTTGATTCCCAACAAGGGTATACCCCTTGAGCCACATCCTAGGGACGTTGAGGACTTCATATCCAAAGTAACCGTGTGTGAGTCGAGAGGAGTTTCTGAGGCTAGAGTCGCTAGTTTACATTTTCCCGTTTTGCGCTATTACTCATTATTTGCGGGGAGATGTTTGATTGGACGGTGGGTGAGTGAAACTCTCAGCTCACCTGACCTTGCTATTTTGCGCCATGCTCTTTATCATGATAGAACTTTTAGTTTGGGTGTTACGATCGCTCGAAGGTTACACACCAACCGTGTTGGGGAACGTAGTAATTTCAAAAAAAATCCTACGCGCGCGCAAGATCATGGTGATGCATAGCAACGAGAGGGAAGAGTATCATCCATGTACCCTCGTAGACCGTAAGCGGAAGCATTATGAGAACGCGGTTGATGTAGTCAAACGTCTTCACGATTCGACCGATCCAAGTACCGAACATACGGCACCTCCGAGTTCAGCACACATTCAGCTCGATGACATCCCACGAACTCCAATACAGCAGAGCTTCACGGGAGAGTTCCGTCAGCACGACGGCATGATGACGGTGATGATGTTGCTACCGACGCAGGGCTTCGCCTAAGCACTGCTACGATACGATCGAGGTGGATTATGGTGGAGGGGGGCACCGCACACGGCTTGGAACAATCAACTTGTGTGTTCTAGGGTGCCCCCTACCCCCGTATATAAAGGAGCAAGGGGGAGGCCGACCGGCCCCTGTAGGGCGCGCCAGGAGGAGGAGTCCTCCTCCTAGTAGGAGTAGGACTCCCCTTTCCTACTCATACTAGGAGGAGGAAAGGAAGGAGGAGAGGGAGAAGGAAGGAGAGGGAGGAAAGGAGGAAAGGGGGGCCGCCCCCTAGTCCAATTCGGTTTGGGCTAGGGAGGCCGCACGGTCTGCCTCCTCTCTTCCATCAGTTGGCCCATGAGGCCCTATACTTCTTCCCCGTATTCCCGTAACTCCCTGGTACTCCAAAAAATACGTGAATCACTCGGAACCTTTCTGATGTCCGAATATAGTCGTCCAATATATCGATCTTTACGTCTCGACCATTTCGAGACTCCTCGTCATGTCCCCGATCTCATCCGGGACTCTGAACTACATTCGATACATCAAATCACATAAACTCATAATACCGATCATCACTGAACGTTAAGCGTGCGGACCCTACGGGTTCGAGAACTATGTAGACATGACCGAGACACATTTCCTGTCAATAACCAATAGCGGAACCTGGATGTTCATATTGGCTCCTACATATTCTACGAAGATCTTTATCGGTCAAACCGCATAACAACATACGTTGTTCCCTTTGTCATCGGTATGTTACTTGCCCGAGATTCGATCGTCGGTATCTCAATACCTAGTTCAATCTTGTTACCGACAAGTCTCTTTACTCGTTTCCGTAATGCATCATCCCGCAACTAACTCATTAGTTGCATTGCTTGCAAGGCTTATAGTGATGTGCTTTACCGAGAGGGCCTAGAGATACCTCTCCGACAATTGGAGTGACAAATCCTAATCTCGATCTATGCCAACTCAACAAGTACCATCGGAGACACCTGTAGAGCACATTTATAATCACCCAGTTACGTTGTGATGTTTGGTAGCACAAAAAGTGTTCCTTCGATAATTGGGAGTTTCATAATCTCATAGTCATAGGAACATGTACAAGTCATGAAGAAAGCAATAGCAGTAAACTAAAATGATCAAGTGCTAAGCTAACGGAATGGGTCAAGTCAATCACATCATTCTCCTAATGATGTGATCCATTTTTATCAAATGACAACTCATGTCTATGGTTAGGAAACATAACCATCTTCGATCAACGAGCTAGTCAAGTAGAGGCATACTAGTGACACTCTGTTTGTCTATGTATTCACACATGTATTATGTTTCCGTTAATACAATTCTAGCATGAATAATAAACATTTATCATGAAATAAGGAAATAAATAATAACTTTATTATTGCCTGTAGGGCATATTTCCTTCAAACCGTTCGAAGGGGTGGTATTTATGCTTCCCGCACCTCACTAAAAACTTTGAGATTCTGATTAGACATGATGAGGTGGAAGAAAAGCTCTTACATGTTAGATATCTTGATTATGATAGCATGGTTGGGCACAACTTTCTTGATAATTAAGAGCCTGGGCGATTTCGTTATAACCTAGTATTTTGTCAGGGCATCCGTGAGATTATTACCCTGCCTGCACCTTCTTTGTTCGATCTCTCTTCAAGAAGGTACACTATTATGCCAGAGGATATTTATGCCTATTGGGGCCTGGCACAGCCCCAAGCACCTGAGCGAACACCCGAGCTAGAGACGGTCGCAGAGCCGGTTTACCAGTGGGATCCACAGGATCCTATCTATTAGTGGGGCCCTCAGGAGCCCCCGTATGACCCAGGGGTAGCCACTTTGAAATGATCTATTTGGTTGACTAGAGGGAGGGTGAATAGGCAACTAACAATTTTTAGCTTTTCTTAACAAATTAGGGCTTGCAACAAAAAGGTTGTCTAGATATGCAACTAGGTGAGCAACCTATATGATGCAAGCAACACAAGCAAGGAAGAGATATAACATAAGTAAAGCTTGCACAAAGTAAAGGTAAGAGATAACCACAAGTGGAGTTGGGGGAGACAAGGATGTGTTACCAAAGTTCCTTCCCTTTGAGAGGAAGTACGACTTCGTTGGAGCGGTGTGGAGGCACAATGCTCCCAAAGAAACCACTAGGGCCACCGTATTCTCCTCACGCCCTCACACAAATATGAGAAGATGTGGTTTCACTAGTGGTGCCCTTGAAGGCGGCGACTGAACCTTTACGAACAAGGTTGGGGCTCTCTCCACAACTAAATTGGAGGCTCCCAACAATACCATGGAGCTTCACCACAATGGAATGTGGCTCCAAGGTGACCTCGGATGTCTAGGGTGCTCAAACACCCAAGAGTAACAAGATCCACAAGAGATTAGTGGGGGGGTCAAATTTCTCTTGGTGGAAATGTAGATCGGGGCCTTCTCAACCAATCCATAGAAAATCAACAAGTTTGA